ATTTGATTCTTTGCAAACCATCCCTGAGGGTTCAATACTCTCCCACTATACTTATCATCTCAAGGTTTCCTTTCCCTCTGTACCCTAAGTGTCATGGGTTTCCAACAGCATCTAAAATTCACTTTGAATTTGCCTTACATACCTAAACCCAACTTGAGGTTACTCTAACTATGTCAAGTTCTACTGGAGAAAATGGCATTAATTCAGCAACTGGTTCCATTACACAATGACCTTGGTTGGTCCTCAAGCAGCTTTGCAACTGTTTCTCATCCCTAAACCTCATGGCAGCTGGTCCAGCTACTTCTACTCTCTTTCTTACTACCTCCCTTCATCTTTCATAAAATTATTTTGCCTCCTGCTTCGAGAAAAAACATAGGCCATGTAATATGTTCTCATTGATTTTTCTCTTAACCTCTATTAATCCACATGGTTTCCTACTCCCTCTGCCTTTCTTTCTAACTCAAAATAACTTTACGAAATGTAAAGTTTTACTTTCAATGCATGACTTAATCCCAGTTTCTCTTGCTCTTCTCCAGCAATTATCCCTTCTTTTTGATGCATCTCTCTCACTTCACTGGCTCCTTTCCCTGAGTCAAAGCAATAAATGCACATCCCTCCTCTGGGTTCAATCTATTTTTTCCCTTCACTGCAAACTTCTATACCTCTTACAGCTCAGTGCCTTCTTTCCCACCCCATTCATTCCTCAATCCACTGAAACTCAGTACCTCACTGAGTCTGCTCTGGGTAAAAAGTTTTCTGTCTTCCTTTCTCACTTTTACTATAAATGAATGTAACGCAAGTTTTTAAGAAATTCAAATTTTAAATATCTCTTACCTCCATCACTACCTTGCTACCCCAGGCAGGTACTGTTAACAGCTGGCACATACCTTTCCATTCATTTTCTGAACATCTATCTATACATACACATAATAACAGCAAGAACTGATACAGTGCCTAGAGTAGCGCCTAAGGCACTTGACTACTAACCAGAAGGCTGGTGGTTCAAACCCATCAACCACTCCTTGGAAAGAAGATGGGGCAATCTACTTCCTTAGTGATACTGCCTCAGCAACCCAAGGAGGGGTCGCTATGAGTCAGGTCTGACTCAACGGCACATAACAACAACAACATGTGCAAGGTTAAACCATTTGGCTACTAACCAAAAGGTCAGTATTTCAAACCCACCAGCTGCTCCACAGGAAGACAGATGAGGCAGTCTGCTTCCATACAGCCTTAGAAACCCTATAGGGCAGTTCTACTGTCCTATAGGGTCACTATGAGTAGGAATCAACTTGATAGTAGTGGTTTTTTTTTTTTTAAAAAAAAAAGAAAAAGAAAAACATGCCAGGCACTGTTACTAGTGCCTTTATTCCTCAGAGCAATTCTATGAGGAAGTTACTATTGTTTATCCCCATTTTACAGGTTAGGCAACTGCAGGAGAGAGAGGTTCTCTAGGTCACACAGCTCAGGCCTCATTTTACATTAATAGACTATTTACACTGTTCTATGGGGAGCTCTGGTAGCATAGTGCCTAAGGCACTTGACTGCTAACCAGAAGGCTGGTGGTTCAAATCCACCAGTCACTCCTCAGAAGGAAGATGGGGCAATCTACTTCCGTAGTGATACTGCCTCAGAAACCCAAGGAGGGGTCACTATGAGTCGGTCTGACTCCACAGCACATAACAACAACATCATTTGCTTTTAAACTTTTAACAATCTCACTGCCATTGAGTTAATTCCAACTCATATGAACCCTATAGGACAGAGCAGAACTGCCCCCAAAGGGTTTCCAAGGTTGTAAATCTTTATGGAAGCACACTGCTTCATCTTTCTCCCACAGAGAGCTATCTCATTAGTGCATATAAAGTTACCTCATTTTTTCTAAGAGTGCCTGGTATTGTATTACATATTCCTGGGTGGTACAAATGGTTTCTTTCTCTCAACTAATTAAAAGGTAGGTGGTTCACATCCACCCAGTGGTGTTGCAGAAAAAAGGCCTGACGATTTGCTTCCATAAAGATTGTTGTTGTTGTTGTTGTTATGTGCCGTCAAGTCGGCCCCGACTCATAGCGACCCCTCCTTGGGTTTCCGAGGCAGTATCACTACGGAAGTAGGATTGCCCAACCTTCCTTCCGAGGAGTGGCTGTCCATAAAGATTACAACCAAAAAAATCCTATGAAGCTCAGTTCTACTCTTGACAAATGCCAGGTCACACTAAGTTAAAATCAACTAGGCAGCTTTTGGGTTTTGGTTTTTGTTATTGTATTAGATGGGACAATCTACTTCCGTGAAGATTTACAGCCTCAGAAACCCAATGAGGGTCGTCACTCTGAGTCGGAATCGACTTCATGGCAGTGAGTTCTTTGGTGTTCTATTTTAACCATTCTGCTGATGAGACTAGTTGTTTAAGATTCTCACTACTAATGATTATGTAATTATTAAATCTGATGGCATATTTTCCATCTTTAAGGAGCTCTGGTAGTGTAGCTGTTAAAGCATTTCACTGCTAACCAAAAGGTCGTTGGGTTGAACCCACCAGCCGCTCCACCGAAGGTGAGGCAGTCTGCTTCCATGAAGATTTACAGCCTTGGAAACCCAACGAAGTTGCTATGATTCATTATTGACTCAATGGCAGTGAGTTTGGTTTTTTTTTTTTTCCTCCATTTTTATCTTGCCTGCTCTTTCTGCAGCATCTGCTCCTCTTCATGAACCTCTCTCCTATACTCCTCCTTAGGCATGTACCACCTAGCCTTCTCTCTCTTGCTTTGCTACTTTCCTGAATCCTTTATCTGACTTCTCCAGTATGACTCTTCTATTTGGGGTTTTCCAAGCTTCTTCCCTTAACAGTGGTTTCTTTATATTTTTCCATTTTCACTGGACATCCTTATACACTCCCAAACATCAAATATTCTATTTGCTTATCATTTTCAAATTTGTCCAACTGCTGTACTGAATTACAAATATGAATTTCAAGTTGCCCACTCCTCGGGAGGAAGGTTAGGCAATCTACTTCCTTAGTGATATGCTTTGGCAATCTAAGGAGGGGTCGCTATGAGTCAGATCTGACTCGATGACACATAACAACAACAACAACAATGCATCTTCATCTACAGATCCAAGAGGCACAGCAGATTCAACTTATCCAGAATGGAACTTAATGGTTCTCATACTTTTATCCCACTCAATCCATCCCCATGCCTGTCCATTCTCCCTATGGCAACTAGACTTTTTTTTTTTTTTTATAAGTATAAAGCAGGTGCAATTATGTCTCTTCAGGGCCTTTGTACTTGGCTCTGCATGGAGTACTCTTCTACCTGTTCTTTACATGGCTATCTCCTTAACCTTCCTATCTTGGCTCAACTCACCACAGAGAGGGCTTCCAGACCACTTAAACAAAATCTTCACTCCCCATCCCATCTTCAATCATTTTCTATCCCATTACCCTCTTTTCTTTTCATTGCATGTATCACTACCTGAAATTAACTTATTTGCTTTAGCACTTCTTACCTATCTCCCTCCTCCAGAATGTAAGTTCCATGAGAACAGGGTCTTTGTCTTGTTCCCCAGAGCCTAGAACCCTGCTTCCAGTGGAGCATGACAGTGAACATGTGCGGGATGAATATGTAAATGAACTCCTCATCCTTTAAGAATTCTTAAAGAAGGGGTTGTTGTTGTTTTTGTTGTTTTTTGCCGTCGAGTCGGCCCCGACTCATAGTAACCCCTCCTTGGGTTTCCGAGGCAGTATCACTACGGAAGTAGGATTGCCCAACCTTCCTTCCGAGGAGTGGCTGGTGGGTTTGAAAAGAAGGGTAGTCCTGTTAAATTATGAACAGAGCACCACATTTCAACTGGAACAGGTCCATTTTAGTGAGGTGTTTCCCTCACCAGCTCATTTACTTACTGATAATTTGTGAATTACAGATTAATTTCTGGGAAAAAAAGAACATTAATGTGTAGAAGGTTAGACCCACCCAAAACCCTCATCATTTTGCATTAAGTCTAATACAGTAATAACCACCACCTTCTGATGCAAAGGTAAACACTCAGCTGCTAAGGAAGGTTGGAGGTTGGAGTGCTCCGGAAGAAAGGCTTGGTAATCTTCAAAAAAATCTCCATTGAAAACCCTATGGAGCGCAATTCTACTCTGACACGCATAGGGTCTCTCAGCCACTAAGGCAACTAGCTCTATGGAAACCATTCATGGCAGAGCAGGCTGGTGGCCACAAGGGCAAGAGCCCATTTTGTCCCAGGACAACCCTCTGGGTGACTTCTAGGATTCCCAGGGTTAAAGAGGTTCGGTTTTAGGAATCCACCACTCCACATCCTCCTATCCTGCACACTACTACATATTTTACATACACCGTCTCCAATTCTCTCTACTGCCCAGACTTATTTCTCCCATTCACAGACGAGGAAACTGACACTCAAGAGGCGCTAACTTGTCCAGAGGTCCCACAGACCAAACTCGGGCACCAAAACTTTCAAAGCTCAAACTCCGTGAACTTGAGCTATTTTATTTCCAAACTGCCCTTGAGAATACTCAATATGCTTTTTGAAGAGAAAACCAGAAGCTCGCGCTGATAGGGTAGGGAGGAGGCACAAAGATAAGAAATGTGAACCACAAGAGTAGCACGCTGGGTCCATAGGAGACCCGCCCTATTCCCAGAGGAGAATCCTGGTGGCTAGCAGGGTGGGGACACGGACCACGGAGGCTTAAAGCTGGAATAGCGGATTCCTGGGGTTGGGGAGACAGAGAAAGGCACTGAAAACACAGGGTGAAAGGATGGTTAATAGGTGTTCCCTCAGACTGGGCGCTGTGAAGAGCGGAGAGAATAGGAAGGGGAGGGTTGGGTTGAGGATGGTGTGATCACCGCGGAAGGGAAGAACAAAGCAGTTCGCTGCTTTCACCCGACTGCGTCTCAGGCATTTAATCTAAAAGGAGGGAGGGGAGAGATCCGGGAGCGCAGGACTCAACACCGAAATCGGGAGTTTGCATTTACCACGACCCCTCGCCCGTAGTCTGGCGCCTCCTCACTGCTCCTGGCCATGTTTCTCCCGGGGAAAGCGGGAAGGAAAGAAGGGCAATGCAAAGATCTAAGAGGGAAAAGGGCAGGGATGGGGGATGGGGCCGCGGCTGGGCCGCCCCGCCCCAGGCTAGCTGGCGGGAAAGAAACTGCGCGCGGCTGCCCCCGGGCCTGGCGCGACTCCAGCGCCTCAGTCGCGGCGCCCCCTCCCCTGGCCGGTCCGCGGGGGGCGGGGGCCTGGGCGCCTCTGAGCCCGCGGCGGCGGCGGTTCAGGGAGCAGCTGCGGAGCAACGCGCGCGGGCGCTGCGCCACGCTCCACCTGAGCACAGGCCCTGGGCGCCCAGGGGCGTCTCTGGCGGCCGCCGCGCGCCCTCGCCTGCCTGATGTCTGTCTACGCGCCTGGGGCCCAGCGGCGCCCCGAAGGGACCTTACCAGAACAGGCAGCCCTGAGGCTTGGTTTTTAAAGAAGAGAAAGCTTTCCCATGTCCCCCTTCCTCCCTGAGTTCTTAGTCCCAGCTCTCTAACTACCAATCTCTTTGATTCCTTTCTGCTTTTATGCGCTCGTTTATTCCAAATAAATCCGCGAAAAAGCCTGCGATTCAGGATGTTCTTCAAGTATTCCTGTGCAAGAAAATTATCCCGGATGTGTTTTTAAATTTTTCCAACGGTTAAGCCGGGAGATTCAAAGATCTATGCGATTGCTTTTTTTATTGGGCCATACTCGTGGTTATAGGCTTTGTTAGGATCAGGGTTTTCAGTTAACAACATTCCCCCCAAAAAGGGGGGGGGGGCGGGCATTACAAATTATCTACTTTACTACTTCTGTAAAAACAAGTCAGATTTTATTTCAGGTTGTAGTTTAAAACAATCGCTCTCCTCAGCTCAGAAATCCTTCCTTTATCTGTTGCTAAATTCAACCTCGAAAACCAGCCTTCTCCCAAGTGAAAGTCCCAGTTCTTTGTCCATTCCTCAAGGGTCTTGTTTTCCCATTATGTGTATTGTCTGAAATCTCGCCAGATTCATCACCACTCGCTTCGGTTTTGAAGCCCTGAGCTGGACACAGTTCTCCGGCTCAGGCCTCTCCGGATTCTGGCACATGGTGGAGAGAGGAATGCTGATATTGCTAGGTTTGAGAGGAAAATAGTTATCAATCAGTTAATGTCATGCCAAATTGGAAAAATATTAGTCATTTAGACACGGCCCACTGGCCATGCTCAGCGCCACCATTTGTTGTGAATGTCTCCAAATGCAGCGCAGTGGAACAAGACAGCTCCTTGGACCTCTGTGATTAGGCAATGTGCTTGCTGGCTGGCTCATACACACTACTATTTTTCCTAGTGCACAGATAAGCATTTTCTTTCAGTAATTGTCAGAGGTCCGTCATTTAGGTCATTTTTATAGTCTGCTTGTCATTTCTTTTTCCCATCTTCTGTTTTATTTTGAAAGACCATCTTCACATCTAGTGTCACTAAAATTTCCAGGAACTGAAGAGTACTGTCACTGTGATGATCAAGCTTAAGTATTCACAAGACTGTCTTGGGGAACTGGTTTGTTAATACAGCTCTGGCCATCCTCATCTCACAAGTGATGGTGAAAATCTGTGGTGGGACTTGGAAATCTGCTTTTTTGAGAGATACCCAGATGAATGCGGTCCGGGTGGTTCAGGAACTAAATTTATGGCATCCTCCTTTACCATCTTACCACTTCAGTATCTAATTTACCTACAAGAGACTTGGCATGTCCAGACTAGGGACAAGGGACTTCATAACATGTCATAAGAGTTGTTGCTACACAGAAATCAAAAAACACCAACCAACACCAAAACACTAGCAACAAAAGACAAAATAGACAAATGGGACTATGTCAAAATTTTAAATATTTTTGCATCAAAGGTGAAAAGTAATCTGCAGATTTATCAGCAAAGTGAAGAGACAGACCACAGGTTGGGAGAAAATATCTGGGAACCATATGTCTGATAAGGATTTAATATCCAGAAAATAAGAAGAACTCCCACAACTCAACAACAAAAAGACAACCCAATTTACAAAAAGGGCAAAGACCTTGAATAGACATTTTACCAAAAGAGATAAACAAATGACAAATAAGCACATGAAAAGATGTTCAATTTCATTAGTCATTCTTGTTGTGCACCATGGGGTTAATATGGATTTATAGCATCCTTATAGGAGAGAATAGAACAGCCCTGTGGTGGTTAAGTTTGTGTGTCAATTTGGCTGGGCCTAGTTGAGTGGCTGGGCAGCTGGATGTAGTATTTCCCATGATGAGACTGCCAATCAACTCCATGGTGGGACCTACCACAAGCAGCTGAGTAGCTGCTTTAGGGATGTGATCTGCTTCTCATATATAAGAAACAGCTTTGGGAATGGTCTCTAGTGTATGTCACACTTGAACCCTACATGTAGCCATATTGTTATTCAGCAGCCTGCCATGCTCTGCCGACCTTGGGACTGTCAATGGACTTGAATTAGTGGCCTGCTGTATGGTTTGGGAACATCAGGACTGTGCCATTTTATTTGTCAACCTTGGGCTTGTTAACCTCAGGAGCCAGTAGTTGCCTGAGTGAAGAGATGCCTCTAGCTTCAGTGGGTCAGGAGCAAGAGGCAGAGCTGAAGTCCAAGGTCAAGGGTCTTTGACCCAGCCCCTAGAGCCTGGCATTTTGAACTTGGACTTCTAGCCTCTTGAACTGTAGGAGAATAAACTGCTTGTTAAGGCCATCCCATTTGTGGTATATTCTTGTCAGAGTGGCACTAGGTAACCAGAACAAGTCCTGTATCATTTCCTAAGATATAATCTTTACAGGAGCTCTGGTGGCGCTGTGGTTAAACCATTGGGCTGCTAACCAAAAGGTTGGAGGTTCAAACCCACCAGGACTCCAACAGAGAAAGATGAGGCAAGGCAAATTTACCTCTGTAAAGATTTATAGCATTCAGAAACCCTATGGGGCAGTTCTACTCTGTCGTATAAGGTCACTAAAACACCAAACCAAACTTAGAGCAACCCCTCCTTTGGTTTCTGAGACAGTGTCTCTATGGAAGCAGATTGGCCAATCATCCTTCTGAGGAGTGGCTGGTTGGTTTGAACTGCCAGCCTTCTGCTAGCAGTCAAGTGCCTTAGGCGCTATGCCACCAGAGCTCCTAGAGGGTCACTATAAGTTGGAACCAACTCTATGGCAGTGGGTTTGGTTTTTGGTTTTGGACCTGATCCCCAGGTCTTTTTTTCCTATGGAGCAGTGGGTGGATCCAAACCACCTACCTTAACCATTGTGCCACCAGGGATTCTCACCTTATTCATTACCAAAATAAATACCCAGTGCCATTGAGTTGATTCTGACTCATGGCAACCCCATAGGGAAGAGTAGAACTGCCTCATAGGGTTTCCAGGGAAGCAATTGTCTCATCTTTCTCCCATGGAGTGGCTGGTGGGTTCAAACCACTGACCTTTTGGTTAGCAGACAAAAACTTTAACCATTGCACCACCAGAGCTCCTCATGAGTCACCAGAGAAATGCAAATCAAAATCATAATGAGATACCACTTCACACCCACTGTGGTAGTTAAGGTTATGTGTCAACTTGGCTGGGCCTTGTTTTGAGTGAATGGGCAGCCGGATGTAGCATTCTTCATGATAAGACTGATAATCAACTCCATGGTGGAGTCTACTTTGAGCCCCTGAGTAGCTGCCTTAGGGATGTGGTCTGCTCCTAGTATACAAGAAGCTTTAGGAATAGTTTCCAGCTTTTTGGCATACTTGAACCCTGCATGTGGCCAAGTTGTTGTTCAGCAGCCTGCCATGTCCTGCCGATCTTGGCACTTTTTCTGGACTTGAATTACTAGCCTGTCATGTTGTTTGGTAATATTGGGACTATACCTTTTTTTACTTGTCAACCTTGGGTTTGTCAGCCTCAGCAGCCAGCAGCTACGTGAGTGAAGAAAAGCCTCCAGCTTCCCAGTGGGCTGGGAGCAGGAGGCAGAGCTGAAGCCCAAGGTGGAAGGGCTTTCACCAAGCCCCTAAACTCTGGCACTTTGAACTCAGACTTGTAGCCTCCAAAATTGTAAGACAATAAATCCCTGTTTGTTCGAATCGTCCCATTTGTGGTATTTTCTGTTGGAGCAGCACAAAGTAATCAAAACACACACTAAATAAACAAAAACCCCTTGACAATCAAGTCCATTCCAACTCATGGAGATCCCATGTGTTACAAAGTATAACTGCTCTATAGAGTTTTCTTGACTGAGTACAGTCAGAATGCTACTTAGAATTGGGGATGTCAAGACTTCATCTCACTTGCTTTGGACATATTTTCAGGAGGGATGGATCTCTGGAGAAGTACATCAAGCACAGTAAAGTAGAGCTTCAGCAAAAAAAGAAGACCCTCAGCAAGATAGATTACAAGTGACTGTAACAATGGGTTCAAACATAGCAAGGATTGGGAGGATGGTGCAGGACCAGTGTTTTTTTCCTGTTTTATACAGGGTCACTATGAATCAAAACCAACTCAACAGCACCTAACAACAACAAAAATCTTAATGGAAATAGATTGCTAAGCTCCTCTTTCATGGAGTTGTTGGGTGGATTCAAACCACCAACCTTTAGATTAGTAGTTGAGCTCAAACCATTTATTTGTGCTTCCCAGGGACCTCTTCACTCCCAGTAGGGTGTCTACTATCAGAAAACTGGAAATTAACAACTGTTGAATTGTAAAATGATGCAGCCACTGTGGAAAACAGTTTGATGGTACCTCAAAAAGTTAAACACATAACTACTTTAAGACCCAGCAATTCCACTGTATACCCAAAATAATTGAAAACAGGGACTCAAACAGATACTTGTATATCCACACTAATTGCAGCATTTTTCACAAAAGCCAAACGGTGGAAACAAACCAAGCATCAATCAACAGATGAGTGAATAAACAAAATGTGACATATATGTACAATGAAATTTATTCTACCATAAATAAAAATGAAATCCTGATATATAATATGATACAAAGGAAAGTTGAAAACATTATGCTGAATGAAATAAGACATAAA